CCATAATAAAGGATCTTTTCTTTCTCGCCTAAATTTATTGTTTTATTCTGACTACAAAGCAAACTCAGCTGTAGTTTACCTTCCTGTCCTAACTTGAAAAATAGAAATAAAATAAGAAGGTCGAGACTAGACGGATGAACACTCCTTCCTGCCATGGAAATAGATGACTCAAACAGACAGTTCATCCAGACTGAGAGGCACACTTCAATTCCCCGTCGGCCGCCCAACTCATATCCACCACATTCTTCAAAGATTTCCCCCCTTTTCCCCTCTGCCTCTCTCTCTCTCTTTCCCTCTCTGGGAACTATGTGAAGCCCGGGGGCAAAACGGGAGTCATCACCTCACTCAGAGCGTCCTCTCCGCAGCGTCTTTATGGCTAGATTTACTGTGCAGCAGCATCTATAAAATCATTTAATGGGGTTAATGTTGTTAGGTACACAGGCCTCAGTTGCCAGTAAACATGTTGCCTAACAGCCTGCGCAGAAAAGAAGGAAAAAGAGAGAGAAAGAGGGAGAATGATTTCTGGCCTCGCTGTTTTCACTTTTGCTTCTCCCCCAGAATCTAAGTCCAGTGATTCTTCTTCTTCTTCTCTCGTCTTCTTTGTTCTTGGCTCTTCCATATAAAGATTTTTTCCTCTTCTATCATGCACCACCTGCACCAGCTTCTTCATCCTACATCTGACTTATCTGACTCATGTTCAAGACGTTTCTTCTCCACATTCATCTTGCTCAAAGTTCATAATCACCAAAGCACAAAGGGGGCATTAAACTGAACAATAGAGAAAGACTGCGGTGCTTCATCCTCACCTGCTACTTTTTCCTTTTACTCACTTCTTCTCGCTGACTCTCTCTTACTCCGAGTCCTGCTCTCTCACCTCTTCCTCTGACTCCCTCCTTCCCATCATGATGCGAGCGTACACCTACACTGAACATGAGTCAGGCCGTGGAGGGCGGGAGGCTGACCTGTGGTGTAACCATGACGACAACCTGGTGCCTACCACACAGGGGTCACCGGGAGCCAGCCTGCTCTTAGTCATCTCGCTGTAGCATCATGTATCGCACACAGCTACTCATGCAGCTGAGGAATGAATGATCAGAACAGAATCCTAACAAAGAGGCTCAATAAGCGCAACGTGTCACATAAATGACTTCAGCAGAGGGAAATGTATTATAAAAATATTGGACTGGTTTTACAGCACTGGTACCATCCTAGAATGAACTTCATGGGCCTATTAAAATAGCTACATTAATTACTCCACCATCTGCTGCCGCGCTTTCTCCGTTTCCAGCCACAACACCCCGAGGCTGGCCCAGCGCCATGTGATCCAGCTCAGTGGACGAGGTGGAGGGCGGACCACCTGGTTGGCTGACCTGTGGCTCCCTGCTGATTGTCACCTCTGGCTGATAATGTGTCTGCGTGAGTCTCTGCTCCTGGAGGTAGGTCTCCTTTATCAGGCCCTTCGGCTTTTCTCCCAGACCTCCCAGCACAGCACCAGGCAGCGTCCAGCCTCCCCGCGACAAGTTGGGACCAGTCTGTGGTGAACCTGCTGTTAAGTAGTTGCTTCCTGTGTCCCAAAATCATGCCCCCCCCCAAACACACACACACACACACTCACACACCTACACACACACACACCCACACTCTCACACACACTCACACACACATGGCTGTTAAATGACCCTAACTGGTCATCATCTTTATCATTTTTTGCTTTCGTTGATAACATTTGATTTCTGATGCTAAATGTTGGGACATGATAAGTGTGTTGAACAAACGCACACAGAGAGTTACTGTTTGATCATCATGACACATCCTGAGTCACAACCGTCATCACTTCCACGATAAAGATCATCATCGTTTTGCACTTTTTTTCCTGTTTGTCCAAATTTAATCAGCTTCCTCCTGAAAAGCACAAAGCATCCTGAGTGATGAGAAATTAACCTCAGAACCTCCTCCTCCTCCTCCTCCTCCTCCTGCCCTGATTCCTGTTTCGATCAGCATCTCTTCATCAGCATCCTCCCTGTCTCCTCCACAGTTCCAACTCAGTACTAATCACTGATAATCAATATCGATTACAGCTCCAATCCCTGAATGGGCTCTCTGCTGATGGACGCGCGTGCGCGCACACACACGCACGCACTGAGGGGGGCTGAGGAGGGAGGAGAGGGGGCTGGGGGGGAAACGCGCTCTCGAGTCTTAAGTCATCCAACCAGCCAACCAGCTCCGCTCGCTGAATAGATGCACCATCACCAAAACGCGAGGGGAGGCGCAACGGGCACGGAGCTGCTGCTCTCTATATCCAGCGGCTCAGAGGCGCTCTGACACCATTCACTCCAGAGTCCCGCACAGCTGAGGACCTGCTGCAGCACCGGGCTCTGGACACACTACACGGACAACTTTCTGCCTTGTGATTTTCGGAGGGCATCTGCTCTTTTGGATTATATTCACTGACGACTGTTAGAAAAAAAAAAAAAAAAAGAGTCTTAATCCTAAATAACATTCTCCCAAAAAGAAAAGGAGCCGCGCTTCTTCCCTGATATCTCCTTAAACTGGGCTTAAGTCTGAAGCCTGTTTTGTTTCAGAAGGTGAAGGACAAGTGCAATGCTGGTCAGGCTGCTCTCTTGGGATTGTCTCCCTTGCGCTTGAGGAACTATGCCGAGCTGCAGCACAGGGCTCGTTCAGGAGGACGCACACTCATGTGAATAGCAAGAAGCGACGTCCAGCCTCGTCAGCCTTTCTACAGTTTCCAGCAAGTGCAGCACGGTGTCCCGACTGAGCCGCTGCGCTGCTCGGACACTCCGGTTTCTCTCCCCGAGGGGATGGTTGTGGATCCTGTGGGGCCAGGAGCGACGCTGAGGCTCCTACACGGCAGCACCTTTTTCGTGTCTGGGGTTAATTCTAAATTAAAGGGAAATGAGAGCCGCACTTGGTTACTTCCTGCTGTGGACGACGTACCTGCTGCTGGTCACTGCTGAGGTAAAGTTAGCGGCCGGAGCGCAGACTGCGGCTCTTTGGCCCCGTGGCGCACATAGTTTGGCGTGATTTTATTCGTGTGAGGGTGCAAAGGTCCCACAGAGCAGCTCCACGCACAACTCAGCAACCTGATGCCCAGCTGCACAGTAACGACTCCAGGTTTTTAAAATCCTGGAAAAGACCTCAAGATAAGATGATTTAAAGCAGCTCCTCGTTTTCTTTAACCTGCAACTCATCCAAAGTACTTTTTTTAAAAGCGAAATTAGAAAGCTGGGGCTGTGCTGAGGTGTTATTTTAGGGGCAGTGTGGAAATGAATTCATTTTTCAGGAGTGAACAAACAGAACAGCAGCCTCCATGAGGGGCAGCGACCACGCGCTTCCCGCAGCAAACACCGCGTCTGCACTTGGACGCGCGTCGCAGTTATTTTTGGCTTTTGTGCCAAATCTGTTTGTAGCCTGAGCCAAGTGGGCAAACGTTTTGGTTGGGCTGAGCGCGTTCATGGGAACCGCTCCGGGTGATATAAATAGCAGAGTCCTCTGAGCCGGAGCTGGCCGCAGGTGCAGAGGAGCTCCGTCCACCGAGGTCCTCCCACCCGGAGCTCACATCTCTGCGATTTAAACCCAGTCCACTGTCCGAGCAGAGACGCACGTTAATGTTTCTACTCTGCATGTTGGGGCTCATTCTATTTAAAGCAGGAGTCGTGTTCAGGACTTTCATGTTGCTGGATGCCAAATTATCCACATTTAAATATATACATATATATATATTATCCTCTATTGCACCGCTTGCTTAAATCGCACAATTTCTTATGAAGTGAGGAATGAGGTTCGGGGTTTCTCCGTGGATGGGGGTCACTAGTTGGCACAAAGTTGTCCCTTCACTGATCTTCGGCTGCCGGTTGTTTAAAGTCTTTATTTACGCAGACAAACGTTCCCCACTGCGCCGACACATCCCTGACCCTCCTCTCCTGTCTGATTTCTCTGCCCCCCCTGAAGGAAGTGGAGTTTCCCCAGGAGCTGATAGACCGACTGTCCCACAGTGAGATCCACAGCATCAGCGACCTCCAGCGGCTACTGGAGATTGACTCCGTAGGTAAATTCTGCCTCTTGATTCTTTTATTTATAGACCTGAGTTTGTTGTTGGATGTTGCTCAGATGTGAGATGCTGCTGCTGCTGTTGCTGTAACAACACGGAGTAAAGGGCAGAACTAAAAACAAACAACAAAAAAAGGCTGCAGGATGCATGATGGGATGACATCAGGGGCGGGACTTTATTAGCACTAAAAGTATGCTTTATTCTGGAAACACCTTTAAAGATAGCCTGGACACTTTATATAACATGGCCAGTCTCATGTTTGTGCCTCAGTGAAGCAACACATGATGACTTAATGGTCACGGTAAATAAAATTACACTCATTTCTGTAAAGATCACATCATCTAAAATAATCAGGGCTGCGTTTTTAAACTGCAGCACATTTGTGGGAAAGCTGAGTGAATTTTGTGCAAATTAAAAGTGAACCAGAAGGCCGCTGATGTTCGGCTGCAGTCGTTCATGGACCTGCTGGTGGCTGAACGCTGAGCGGCAGAAACTGATGCTTGAACAACATTTAATTGAATAAGATGTGTAGACTTTGCAAACCCTGCAGAATGAGTGGATTTGGTCAACAGACAGGTCCAGCATTCTGCTCATTATATTTAGCAGAGAATCAGAAGTCAGGGAAGCTGTGACTTGCATGACTTGTGCAGCCTCCAGTTGCTGAGTGCAGCTCGGACACGCGGGATAAAACAGGAAACATGACAGGTGTGTTCCCCGTACACATGTGACGAAGGTGGGCTTTCACTGACAGCCATTTATTTGTGCATATTCTTTCAGCTGCAGTAGTCAATGCGACTAAAGGGCTGCGTTGCAACAGACTGCACATTTGTTGCACCGTAAACAGAGACGGCAGCTCAGCAGCAGGCCAAACGTGCTTCTTCGGCTTCAGGTGCTGCTTCTCCTTCGGTCTGTCTCGGACTGTCTTAGATTAAGTTACAGCAGTGCACTGGAGGAAGCTGTTTGCCTTCACATGAGCCTCTATTTACACAGGCTCTGGCCATACATCACATTCAGGGCTCTCCCATAAAGATTTGTTGATGGAAATAGGTAATTACTAAATTTGCTTTAACTGTCCCAAATGATGTCAGCTACCTCACCGGTCACAGCTCATTAGCGAACCTTATATTCAGCAAAGCAGCACTGAGACGGGTCTCTCGCTCAAGTTTTCTCCTGTGAAACCCTGTGTTTGCTTTTCCGAAGGATGTATCAATTAGAACTAATAGCTCCACATCATTAGAGTGTGTTTCATTTATTAATTCACAATCAAACCTGGACTCCACAACAATGATCATGCTGAGCCCAGAATAGATCCCCGCAGCGCCTCTAGCATGAGAAGAGGTGTTTATAATTGAATTAACATGTCTTTCTTCAAACAGAGTAATGTTTTGCAGGGTAACAGTAGTAGGCTGATTATTATTACGAGGACATAAATCTGTCTGAGGGCCAGCTTGGCGGCCCTGACTAGCCCATTAAAAGACCTTTGACGCCAGCCAGAGGGGTATTTTCAGAGCTTTTGTTGCAGATGTCCGGGACAGTGAGGCTACCAGTATAGACTGAACTGTACGTGGCACAGCATGGCAACGAGGCAAGAAGAAAGTAAAGGCTAAGATCTATTTATTAAGGCGAAGCAACGTGTTTGCACCTTGCAGGTAGTTTTATCATTTTATTGAGCAAGACACAATGTTTTTTCCATCTTTTTTTAAAAACTCTTCTTTGTGTTGCTTGTGGAAATCTGCGGTCTTTACAGTGTCGTTCAGCCTGTAAGGGTGGATGTGGCAGAATGAGTGGGAAAGCCTGCGGGATTCGGTGTGTTTCATTTAGTGCCGCTTTGCTGGGTGCAGGCTTGTGTTTGTGAGGATGGTGTGCTTAGCGCTGACTGACAGATGAGATGACCCCGTTGAAGTCTGCAGATGCTGTCTGGCCCCCGAGGTGCTCCTCTCCTCTCCCACCCGTCTCCCTCCTGAGGTGGCCCCTTGCCTGCCTGCTCTTATCTCTTTCAGTGAAGGACTTTGACAGAAAAGGGAACCTGACTCTTGACATGGGGCAGAGGTGGAGGAGGGAGCAAGAAGGAATCTGGAGGTTGTGTTCCTGCATCACTCAGAGAGGCTGCAAGTTGTTGTGCAATCTGCTTTGTTTCTGACGAGCTGGCAGCGTGTTTAAATTCTGTACAGCTGGCAGCGCTGCCATGAAGCTGCAGCATCTCAAAAACAAAGCGATCGTGCCTCCCGCCTGCCCTCACGCCCACAGGGAGGACCTGCTGCTCATATGACCCCAAGTAGTTCTTTGTCAACTCAACCATGTAACTGTTGACAATAACAACACAAGGAAGAGTGACAGAGAGAAAGAATTATGGAGTCACTTATTACAACAAGTCAACAACATGTTGGCTATTTGCACAAGCAGAGGGAAAGAAAAGAGAGGAGGAGGAGTAAAGGGAGGGAGTCGAGGCCCTCAGCTAATGGTGGGAGTAATTTGCCAGTCATGAAAGCCTGATTCATGGCGAGAGACTGTCTCCTGTCCTCTTTTCTCTTGTCTCAGTTTGTCAACGCTCCGGGCATGTTGTTGCTTCTTAGTCACCTGGAACCAGCAGAGGAGCAAAGCCCTCCGTCCACCCTTCTGCCGTCTCTACCTCTCTATTCAACACCCTTTCTTACTCGCTCTTCTTGCCTCATTTTCAGTGCTTCCTCCTGCCTAATATCCTGCCTGATCACCTGCTCTCTACCTCTTTTGTGCTGTTTCTCAGAGCGTAAAGGGAAGAAACAGCAGAATGGTCCTTTTATTGTGCTGAAAACAGGCTCTCCACAGTCTGTAAAAGGCTTCTTTATGTCCTACCTTCCTTTCTCCTGTCAGATTTGATAAAAACTGTCTGCGGGTGGTCACCAGTGTGACACCCTCCTCCCCTCTGCCTCCCCCAGACAGGAGGAGATGGAAACAGGGATAGGTAGAGCAAAGTAAGAGAAAGCACAGTTGGAGTCAGTGATCCATAGCGTTAAAAGGTTATTAGGTGGGAAAATCCTCCAGATAGCCCCATGAGTCCACTTGACAGTGCTGCAGACAGTGTAGGTCTGTGTTTCACCGTCTGTGTCAGGCCATGCAGAAGGTGTGCTGCCGATGTGCAGGGTGTGCATGTTATCTCTAAGTGCGGTTGTACTCGCCTGAAAGCTCAGCTCTTTGCTTAACTCCCGGCCTCGGCTGTAGTCAACACTTCCCTTCTGTCAACCTTTGGTTCTGGGTCACTGGTTACATGACTGACTGCACGACTGGCTGGAAGGAAATTTCCTTAACTCTCACTGAAGGAGGACTGACACCTGACAGACCTGTAAAAAGAAGCAAATAAACAACCAATCCCAGAGGTAGAAGCATGTATAGGGAGAGGAAATCCCTTCAGATGACTCTGGTCAGAGCACAAAGAAGCTGCAGGAGTGGAATGTGTTTGCCTATGGCTAAGCTTTGTCGCGCTGGTGTACATTGGGTTTTAGCATGTTATGGAGGATAATGACAAGAGTTTGCGTAATTGTGAGTATGTGTTTATGTTAAGTGTACAGGTGTAGGACTCTGTTAGCCAGGTGGGGTGGATACTCTGTACCTACGGACAAGAAGACCCACCCACTTAGCAAACACTCTCAGACTCTGCTCTTTGGGAAAGGGCAGTATCCTGTGGACAGGCTTTATCATTTTATAGCTGCTTTGGCACTTTTCTGTAATGCACCTTATATTCTGGGTGGGGACCAAAACAAGCAAGCTTTATCAGATGACCATGACTGTGAAAAAGCTGAAGTGGCTATATTGGCCTGGAGAGCTTTAAGAAGCTGGCCTTGCGGCATAACAAAACATGTACTTTTCCAAGCCACTGAATGATTGAAAAAGCAAACATTTTCAGGTAAATGAGAGACACGAAACCACTAATTAGGGCCAGGAATAATGGCAGCTGAGTACCACCTGTCAAATGACCGCTTTAGTCCCCTGTGCGTCTGTTAAAGCTGGTTGTTTTTCAAGGAGCATGCTGACTCACCTGAGTCTAGTTACTTTATTCCTGCCGGGAAAGTTCAGCCAAATGAGTGAGTCAGGCTGACACACAAAGCTTGCAATTACACAGAGGTCTATGTAAAACTGCCTCTTGCCTGCACCCTCTGTACTCTGGACTGTTTACCTCAATTTGTGACATCATCAGCAGTCGCCCTGCACGCCGGCGTGTAGAAGGGAACTCTAAGCCCTTCAGGGAATCAAAGAATCAAACATACAGCACAAGAAACCAGTCGGAGGTTACCATCTCATTATGGTTGTGTGACTAACCGACACATAGTTTGTTGCGGAAGGCGCATATAAAACATGGACGGCAGATCACATGTACGCGTCTGGCGAGGCCTACCAAGCCGCCCATCACAGCACTCGGCAGTGTCAAAGCTGCAGCGGCGGTTACAGGCTGCAGCGGTCGGTTTATTGGTTGAATAAGCTTTTAGCGTGCGTTACTGTGTGACATTGCTAATATGGCGGCCTTATGTTTTGACGAGGAACAGGAAACGATGTCATTGAGGAGGCGAAGTACCACAAGCACCACAACCACCACAAGAACTACTCTCGTCATCACGGTTACTACAATGACCTGAAGAGTTCTCAGCTACACAGCCGGCGCAAGAGGAGCATCGGTAAGACTTCAGGAACACAATATGCTTCACTGTGTTGCTCAGAGGTTGAATCACGATTACGTTTGACACTATATATACATCACAACTTGGCATGCAATATTACAGTGTCAAAATGCACTAAAAATAACCTGTATCTTAAATATCACCCCTGACACATGAGTTCCCAGGAGATGAAACCGATCACTTTACACTAATTTAAAACAAAGCTAATACTTAGTGGCTTTTATACTGCTTTTTTGTGGATAAAAGGAACCCTAATGAAGACATCTACCCAGTATTTATGGCAATCAGGGAATCATGAGAAACGAGACTGGTGTATGAGCTCGACGAAGACGTCTGACATGAAGCTTTTTAATTGGCCAGAGGCTCTCAGATCTAAGACACACGCGTCAGGAGAGAAATATATCCTTGAGCGTGGAAATTCCAGGCATTCAGGGTTCAAGTTGCAGCTCGCCTGGGCTCTCAGTCAGATTTCTTCATAAAACGCCACGCGGTACGATATCTGATCGAGGCGTGGAGAATACCATGTAGTGTGTGATGTGTGTGTTAAAAGTGGCTGCGTGTTCTCTCCCAGCAGCCTTTAAAGCAACACAGGATGAAGTCGCTGGTCGTATTTCATCTGTGTGCTCTGAATCATAAGTTTATGATACAGTATACCATTTTGGCAGCTGTCTGCAAAAGCCCTCATGTTCTGTACATGACATATCATCTTTACGACATAATGGTATCTTACTGTACGCTCTCCGTCAAATCTTTGGATTTGAGCGCCTGTCTGAAGTGAATGCTTACAGCCGTCGTCTTTTCACTGTGGCCAGCAGGGTCAAAGGCCATGATTTAATTTCCCACCGGTGGACGTAAAGGTTTTCTGGCCTCGTCACGCTGCATTAACCCCCGTGAGGGCGCTGAACAAAGGAACACTCTTTTTGTGTCTCACCGACTCTTAAGCTCCTTAGCCGATATGAGATCAGCTTTTTGGATAGCTTGTCTTCTTAACAGCCTTAAAGGCGGTTGGGTGTGATCTGAGGTAGGACGAACAGCTCCCACACCGAGTGAGTCATCAAATAATGAGCAGCGAAAGAATGCATGAAGCAGCTGTGAGGGAAAAGGACGGATTACAACAGCACATCAGCACACGCTTGTAATCGGAAAATTCATCACTGACTGCTGATGCACACCGAATGCATTCACATGTCCCTCTCCTTGTCTCTCTCCAGTAGAGGAGGCTGTCCCGGCGGTGTGTAAGACACGGACGGTGATCTATGAGATTCCCAGGAGCCAGGTGGATCCCACGTCTGCCAACTTCCTGATATGGCCGCCCTGTGTGGAGGTGAAGCGCTGCACAGGCTGCTGCAACACCAGCAACATGCGCTGCCACCCGTCCCGCAAGCACCACCGCACCGTTAAGGTAAGACGCACAGCAGCAGAATACGTAACCGACTTGTTTAAAAGCGTGCTTGTATTCATACACAATCACTCCAAATAATGACCGCATTGCAGTGATAACCGCACAGTACAGCACATATAAGCACCATTTAACACACCCGGCTTTTCATGGAAGTGCTCATTCTATATCTTCCTCTTTGCTCTACAACCCCTGCTACCGTGGTACCCCTCTCCTCCGAGCCTCCTTGGCCAGTACCCAAACATCGGCCACCTCACCTCCGCTGCCCCCTATCCTCTCCGCTCTCCTTCCATTTCAGCCGATCACCACCCTCTCTCTGCATCACTCTATCCCATGTTTGGCCAGAAGCCAGGGTGGCTGTGCCAGGACAGCAGGAGGGAGGAAGAGAAGGAGAGAGAGGACAGGCAGACAGGGTTGTTTGCACTTTCTGCCAGGACATCTGTTGAAGGATCGGCCCAAGAGGGATGCTCCTGCCAGATATAAGTCAGAAAGAACGCGAGAGAGAGTTTGTGTGGGAAAGAGAGGGCGAACTGTATCTTGAGAATATCTGAGTGTCAACCACTACTCCTTCGCTCTCCGTTTGTTTGGCCTTTTGTCTTCTCTGGAGGCAGTGAGCTCAGAGGAGACGAGGTGACAAAGAGAGTGAGAGAGGGATTGCAGGGGGTTGCACTGTTCTCAGAGGCTCTTTGGCATCGCTTGCTTGAAAACATGTCCCTCTGTTAAGGATCAGAGGAGACACGGTGGCTGGAGCTGAGATGTATTTGTGATGTATTTACACTACACCCTGTTAGCCAGCGCACGGCTCTGTTTGGAGGTATGGGAGTTATGTGGTCTGTTCTGTAAGAGGAGGAGACAACCGGGGCATAAACAGGATAGCCTGGAACACTGACTGTGTTTCTCATCCAGTCTGCACTCCATTCTCTCCTCTGTAATCAGCGTGATCTTGGCCATCCATGTGTGCTGGGACGTTGCTTTCTCTCCTGCTCCTCATGCATCACTTTAAAGATGCCGCCTTGATAAAACAGTGGAGTAATAAAACAAATACCAGTCCTGTGTGCTGCTGCCTTTTTCCCCTTGGCACACTGGCACAGGTCACGGAGATTTCAGTGTGGATAGAAGGACATTCTCTGCTTTTAGTCATGGAGTAGAAACAGTAAGGCTGCGCTGACAAGACGGCCATTGTAGGGCACAAGGAACTGCAACCAGGGCAGGGTTTATGGTCAGAAATGCTGAGTCATAGTGCGGTAAGAGAGTCGAGCTCTGATATACAGCACAACCCTGTGCGTCTGTCCGTCTGCATGCAAGCTCATCTGTTTCTCCGTCCGGCAGACAGTCTGTGTCTGTCGTCCTCAATAGGAGCTCTGTCTGTGATCACAGTGATGCTGAGGGACGGAGAGACACTGACGGCGGCACACAAGACGGTTTAAGGCCTGGTTCCGCTATTCCCGGAATGCTGTGTTTCGTGCAACTTTGTCCGTGTCCCCGTCATGACACCAAGAATACGGACTCGAGGGGGGCTTCGGGCGTAGTGGGCAGGCTTATGTCGGGCGCCGCTTCTTTATGCTTGGTTCCAGCGAACGGGGCGGTGAGGCGTCGCGTCCGTGGAAAGGTCATCCGTCAGGGCGCCCCTCTGGTCAGGAGACATTCACCATGTTGTGTGTGAGAGACATTGTCTCGTGCCAAGTTTTTTTTTCTTCCTTTTCTGTCCGTCCCTTCAGCAGTCACTCTGAACAGGGGTTCAGTTTGTGCTTTATTAGAAAGCTAAAAATGTTGTCCGTCCCTGGGCCTGACTTGTTTTTCTTCTGCAAGCCAAAGATTGGGAAAAGAACACATTTGCTGTGTTTCTTTCCGTCTCATTCCACTATGCATTTGTCCAGTTTATTTATTTATTCCCCGTCTTCTCTTTCTCTCCCTCTTCCCCTTTTTTTTCATGCTATGGACCCAAAAAAAGAGAACGGGTCTGAGCAGGTCCACAAGTCTGTCCTGTTCAGTGGTGGGGTAATAAAAAGGCAACTTTAAATAGGACCAGCGAGGGAGGAAAAGGGGCAGATCTTAAAGCCACCTACTTTCTATTCCTCGGTCTCTCTTTTGCCCTCCTCTCATTCTTTTGCAGTTTTTTTTTTTGCACTTTGGCCCATCACTGTGATAAGTCTATCTCTGAAACTTTATTTGTGCGTGTATAGGTTGCATTCACATAGTTGTTTTTGTGTTGTCTGAATGCCGTGTCGCGGAAAGGACACAGTAAAAGGAAGAGGTGTAAAGATAAGCGACATGCCGGTCATTTAGAGGTGGCTCAGGATTCATAAAAGAGATTAAGTGAGGAAGGCAGAGATGGAAAGACAAACAGAAAGCGAGAGAGAGAGGAGAGAGGCAAACAGAATTCTTAATGAGCAAATGCTTTTATGTATTCGGGCTCTATCATCCCTGCATTCCTTTAACTCCTCCTTCACCCCCGCCTCCTTTTGCACTTTCAATGACACCATATTCACTCCCTCTATCCCAGCATCTTGGCTCTCCCGTTTCTTTTCCACTGAAAATGATTTCTCCACACTTGTCTCGTTTCTTTGACATTTCTTTAAAAACATCTCGGTGATTCTGCCACTGTTTCAGCGTCGTGGCGTTCTCAGAGCTGTTACGATCGAGATGTGGCACGAAATGACGCACAAATTAATACGTATCAGAATGAATATATCACATGTTCAAAGACAGATTCCACTTCTCCCCTTGTCCAGCCCTCCTTTGTCCTCCTTCTCCTCATCGCTCCTGTATTTCCTCGGTTCTTCCTCCTCCTCATCTCGTTGTCTCTGACCGCCGTGTCCAGTCTGATGGTTTTCTCAGTGCTTCTGGCTCAGAGGTTCGCCGCTCACTCGCTCGTAAAACAACAGGTGATTGTGAACAGACAGGACTGAGGAAGCAAGTTGTGTGTGAGCTACAGAGAGATTTGTACACACATGTACACTTGTGTATGTGTGTGCGAATCTAAATGCCTCTCTGTGTGTTCTTCTTATGGGGCAGAGCAAACAGGCCATGCCAAAGAACGGACCTGTCACTCATGCTCTCACTGATTAACTCTCAAGGCTTCTGCTGTACATATGCTTTAGAGGTTCATAACATTCCCATTCATCATTCAAGAATATCAGGTGAGATTTGAGCGTGCACGTTTGAAACAAGCAAATCAGAGTTCGGGGCTTTTAGTGCTTACAACACCAGGACATCTACTCTTTGTGGTCTTCAGCTGCGGAAATATAGTTGACGGTAAATGGAGCTTTTCTTTTCTTGCATCAGTTGTAGAAAATGAACAAAAGAAAAAAGGAGAACACATAAATGAGCTGCCAGTTATGTCTTTGAATCCCACAAAATGCAAAGAAAAATGGCTAAATTTCAGTGTTTGTGCTGTGAATGGCATGTAGTAGTCTCATTTTTGCAAATTTGCTTCATACAAAAAATAGAAGGCAAAAAAAAAAAAGAAAAGAGAGAAGTTAGTGTTTCCATTGCCTTCGTGTCAGCCTTTAATCTAATCAGTATGGCACTATTGTTAGAATTCAGCTCAGTTTATCTCATTTGCTTTGCCCTTGAAGCATTACGCAGAAGAATCCTGCAGAGGTTGGAGAGGGTCATCAGCGCACATCTGTGTAAACCCAAGAAGAACATGTGTGTCGGTGAGACGGAGAGTCCGCGCTCTGCTACGTAAACTCCCCGACCGCAGAGCAGGGACAAGGCCGTTTGTGTGAAGTGGCAGCAGGAGGAAGACGGGCCGCAGAGTAATGAAGTGTTGATGGCTCCGGCATCAAAGCGGAGGCTGACAGAGGCCAGGCGGATGTAGCCTCGGTGCTGAGTGTGGGGGTCCACGTCTCCCTGCGCCGGCCCTCGCCCCGACCCCGACTCACACATGCACGCTGACAGTTACCTCAGCGGCGGCGGGTCGCACGGGGTGTCGGGGGGGGAAGCGGTAGCTTTAGCCCTGCGGTTGTGCGGGACCCTGACTTACGGGGTGTTTCATAAATAAACGACAGTGCGACGGTGATACAGTGAGAATGATTTATGATCATCAGAGGAGGTGGGTTGGGGGGCAGATGGGACCGAGGGGCCTCCCTGTTTGAAGTGCCTCGCAGCTGTGAATTATTTCCCCTTTGATTCACTCAGCTCTTCGACGAGATGAAGAAGGGTGAGGGAGTTTGTGCGTGTATGGATGTGTGTGTGGCGTATGGCGGGGGGGCAGGTCATAGACCATGGGAGTGTCCTGACCGTGCCAGAAGACTTTGGCTACTGCTGCACCGGCTGGAATGCATCAGCTCGAGCAGGAGAAGTAGCGGCGTATTTTAATCATATTTTTACTTCGTTTCTGTATTTTCCTTCACTCCTCCTCGCCCGTCCTCCCTTTCACTCTTCCCCACTGACTTCATCCTCCCCCTCCACATCTCCTCTCCACACAGACCCCTTCAGTCTTGGAGTCTGATTGTCTGTTATGTGAAATAGCTGTTCACTCCCTCCTTGCGCTTTCTGTCTCTTTCCTGAAACAGAGCCATCTCCCACTCTCTAATTTTACCCCTCTGTCAAGTCTCTGCCATCTCCTCTGTCTTTTTTTGCTCTCTCATGAAACTCTTATTTACGTTTTCCTCTTTTAAGTGCTCAGCGTGTGTTTCTCTCAGTCCTGTTGTTCTGTAAAGACAGTCAAACCGAAAGGTCATCTTGGGATTCTTTGATATTTGATATTGCATGATGGTTTGCAGGAGAAGGGAAGCACAGCAGAAGATGTGGAGGAGAAAGATAGATATCCACATCTGGAGATACGTTGGTGGGTGTTAGAGAGAGGTTGGGGGAGAGCGGTGTGCCATGAAGCGTCTTTTTGGTGAGCGATGTGATGAATGCCCTCCTTGCTTCCTCTCTTCTCCTCACACCGCCTGTGATAACCTCGGGGTTGAAGCTGAGGGCAGCGGCAGGTTGTCTTTGCCTGACGTCCAGCCTTCGTCCTCGGTGGGTTTCCGCTCTCTTGTGGGTGTCATTTTTTCCTTCCTTTTATTTCAGACGACAGACAGACGGAGACACATGAAGCTTCACCTCCTTTCTCCTTGTCACAGTTGTAGCATCTCGGGTCTCTTCTTTGTGGCCAGTGTCTCCTAACTCCCCTCCCGACGGATGGCTCGCCACCCCGCCCTGCCTCAGTTCTCCAAACACACACATGCATTTTTGTTTATTTTTCCTCGATTCTGTCACTGTTCCAGTTCGCCATGGCCCGCGGTGCACATCCACATCCCCGCTGTGTTTTCCTTGGAAGGCCGGAGTAAAACTTTCCCCTCCATCATGCTCTCATCAGTGCTTTGTGCTCAGGGAATTCCCAATTAACCCGACTGGGACAATTGGCTTCAGCAGGAGGGCTGCGGAGACACTGGGGACAAACCAAGGGGGTGCACTTCCCAGAGCCCCCAGCCTCACCCCAGCCCTGTGGATCGGATATCATTCCACAGCCGCTCAGGGGGACTCTTTCTCAGGGCCTCGGCTTTCTAGGGAGTTTAGAGCAGTTTGATTTATACAAAGAGAGTGTGGGGCCCCTTGTCGTAGCATGGGGGTCTCTCTCTAATGTATGTTTTATGTGGGAAGTCATTGACTCTGTGCCAGATAGGAAGCCAGTGATCTTTGTGTAGGGGTTAAGATGTGGCTAAAAAAATGACAAACACAGAATTAAATATGGAACCAAAGTGGAAAAATGGTTATGAGAGGGGACCTCCGCTCCTCAGAGCAGCATCAGGAAACAGGAAACAAGGCAGAAACTGAAAGTGTTGAAAAACCAGTGAGAGAGCAGGCTGTTTGAAGCAAACGGCAGCACAAATATACAAATCTAGAAACAAATGTGCAAATCTGCGTATCTCGTGCATGGAGTGTTTTTAAACCTGCTGTGTGAGAAGACATCCGACTGCTGGGCCTCTCGTCTGAGGGGCCCATTGCACCATCCTTCTGTCAATAGCTGTTTGTTTGGCGAGCAGAGTTTGGGTTTGTGTGTGTTAGTCATTAAGATCGGCATTAGAAGTGTCAGACATGGCTGACTCTGCTGGCTTCCTGCGAGCTACTTCTAAAGGCCCCTCAGTGCAGACATTCCCGTAACCAACGGCAGCCGAGCCGTCCGCGGAGACAGCTGCATCTTTCATCTCTCTTTGTCTCCCTGTTTTTCAGATAATCGGATTAAATATTAGCAGCGGTTTTCTGGGAATCCCATGTCATTCTGTGATGGTAGATGACAATACACCATTGATTACTTCTCTACCTATCCAGTCAGTGTGAGCGTAATACGTTTCCCCAGTGGACAACCCAGAAACTAAATGTTAATAGGTAACACATGAATGTCATCTCATGCAAGTCATGATCATGGTCGCTCCCTCCTCCCCCTTCCTTAAATAACCCCCTCTGTTTGCACACACACACACACACACACACACACACACACACACACACCTTTGTGTTCCCTAATGACAGTGATGGTCCACCTTCCTGCTCTTAGTTCTTCCCGGCTCTGGCCTTTCACCCGCTCTCCCTCTCTGTCAGGGCCCGGTAACAGCAAACACACCACCACTAACCCAGACACCATTGTCCTCTGTTTGCTCACCACATACCTCCTCTGCTTGTTTACCCTCTTTTCACTCCCTCTCTTCTTTCTCTTCCTCCATGGTAAGAAACTGTTGCAAAGGAGTGGTCCGGCTCGGTTTCAGCCTCACCGAAGGACCCTCCGGCCTCTGTTACAGCACATGAAGTTGCTCTCTCTGTGTGAATGTCAACATTATACCTTGTTTTGTCAGACCAGGATTGGTATGTTCGTTTGTCTGCATGACTAACTCACCACCGAGAGCCAGCCTTGGCGGTACGCCATCACAGGCTAGAGGAAGAAAGCCTCTCATCAGTTTTGGCCCTGCGTATGCGTGTGTTAGCCTCATGCTGACTCCGAAATTGTGTTGCTCATAACACCAGAGAGCGCTGAGAGATTGTCGGCCAATATCCTCTCTCATGCAGTAACCAGGATAGGTAAAGCAGGGGATATTGTTTCCATGTGGCCCCCAGGCCCTCAGTGGTGGATGAAGAGGTTACCTGCCCTTGGCACTCAGATCAGAGAGGGAAAAGCATGTGGCCACCTCCCCTGAGTTACACAACAAGATCATCATAACCTCCAAGCAACCTTTCCTCTTCAGCTTTCATCTAAGCTTTAATCAACATCGTGTATTCATAACCCTCAGGGCATTGGTCGTTTTTGTTACCGGCTATTGGGTGGGAAGCAGAGGTCTGAGCCCTAAACTGAGAGGGTGTTACCAGCTGAGATTAGACCAAGTAAACTGTGTTCCTTGCATGCATGCTAAGCAGCACTTTCCCTAACCCATGAAGAAATGTGGTATAAGGCCAACATGTTGGGACACGGTGAGGGCGTTTAGGTGTGTGTCTGTCTGGATGTGGATGCTCCAGGCCTGGAGCAGAGGGGGATCTCCCAGCTTCTCTTCTCCTGCCAGGGTAAACCTTCCCCAGGCCTCGGGGTGTACAATGCTCCCCCCTGCCCTCCATCTCTCCCCTGCCATTGTTTGTTTGGACAGGGTCATACGCTCAGTTACACACCTGATCAAGAGTACACAACAAGTGGAGCCCGATGAATGAGCTTCTGAGGAATGCTGCCGTCACCCTCAAACAGCGCCTAGTTTTTTATGAATCGGTTTATGGATGTGTCATCAGTCACGGAGCTGCGCCTCTCGATGTTAGCAGATGGGCAAAGAGTGTGTACATTCATCGACACACAGGGAGGAGTAATGACGGTGCTGGAGCGGGGTCTGTGGCTAACCTTTTAACTCTTCCTCCCTTCAGGTAGCCAAGGTGGAGTACGTGAGGAGGAGGCCGAAGCTGAAAGAGGTCTTTGTGCGGCTAGAAGACCACCTGGAGTGTGTGTGCACATCACAGCATCACGTGGCGGAGCACTCAGATGCAGAAACAGGTAAATGTGACCCTCAGATTTGTCATCTCCAGCATCCTCGCAGCACCGCCTTTTTGCAGAAAGATCCCTCTGAGGCTGTGATTGCTGAAACCCTCCCTCATCCCCACATCATGCATCAAGCATTCTGCTTTCCTGCCTTCCTCGTGTCTGTTTGATGGTTGTTTTCTCTGTCTGGCTCCTTGGCTTTGCACCAGATGACCTTTTTCTGCGACTGCTCCCAAACAGACAAACATACCGCTGATGTGGCCTGCAATTGTAAAACTGTAAAGCTTGTGTGTTTTTTACCTTGTTAGGTGTCGACGTGTGTGTGTGTGTGTCAAAGTGTATACGAATTTGTGTGTTAAGGGAGGGTGTCCAAAGGCTGCTTGGCATGACAGCAGGTAAATCCGCCAGTGCCTTGATCTGAAGCCTTTCTCTCCCTGGGAGCAGATAAGCGCTGTAATGTGTGCTGATAAGGCATCTGAAGTATTTATAGCGTGTTATATCTTTGCACTCTCTGCTTCTGTCCCAGGGCTGTTGTGCCTCTTTCTGTACCATAAACCCTGCTTCTCGCTTTTAACCCTCCTTCCTATCCACCCTCCCTGACTTTGTGTTTTCAGGCCACCGTAGGGCTAAAGGTAAAAAAAGGAAACCTAAAAAGCTAAGGCCCAGCAAGGATTTATTGGTGACATAATAAAGTTGGTGCTCATTACCCAAAGTCCACTGGAGAGCTGTGAAGGGAACAGGTAGGACTTGAGCACTGAAGCCTTCTCTCACCTTTTGGCACTGCACTGGCCCAATCAGGGTGCAAAGAGGGCCTGCCAATCACTGTCACCAATCACATCACAGCCAATCAGTGTGAGACGAGGGAGGGCTGAGGAGTGTCGGCTCTGTGCCCCAAAGCTGCATGTTGAGTTTGTGGCCTGCTGAGCATGCACACTGCATATATCTGCTTGCGTGTGGTTGAGTGCACTACTTCTGTTGTATTCTACCATAAAACTGTTTGTCTTGTTTCACTCCTTAAAAGGCACCAATCTGTCTTTGTTTGCTTCTGCCCTCCTTCACCTTATTATCACCCTCTGAAAGAGAGAAAGGGACTTTTTGGTCTTTAAATCAAAAAACAAATAAAAAATACTTTGTCCTCTCTTTACTTTGGGCACACACAGAATAACACACACATGCAGTATTTTGACTGGACACAACAATGTGCAGTCTGATCACTGTCCTTGAAATCGGGAGAAACGTGATTCAGAACACTTTGGGTCTTGTGTGTGTCAGTTTGCTTGAAATGCATGACCAGATTGATGAAAGTGGGATCTAAATACAAAAGCACAGTTTGTTTCACGATGGAGTGCATGTGTTACGATTGTGAACTTGCAATACTGATCCCGGCTTTGTTTCTCTTTCCTGCAGTGGATGTGAGGTGAGACCAATCAGAACAAGGGACTTCAGCGTGGGACGGACCTGAACATAGAGGAGGCCACCAACAGGAGCCCTGCTCTGTCCTCTTCCCCACTGTTGTGCAACCTTCGTTTAAAAAAAACAAACTTTTCTGTAAAGTCGAGAGACTGAAAAATAGACAACAGACAAAAAGCAATAAGATGCCAAAGGTGCTTTTTTTTTTTTAAAAAAAACAAACAAAAAAACAACAACAACAAACTACAAAACGATAACCAGAGACTTCCTCTGTGGTTTTCCACAGACAACTGAACTGTGCCGCTTATTAAGAAGAAACGAGGAGATGCTGTGGAGCTCGGGCGGGGCAGACAGGCCGAAGGGAGATGATGAAAGGGATACGTGTTGAACATTTTTGACTGACTTTGTTTGAATAAGACACACAGCAGAAATGGCTGTTAAACAGTTGGATCAAGCTTTCATGGGAATCCGATTCAACATTAGCGCCCTGCCCCGTTTAAATGACTCATGCACACAGAGGAAGGAAGACAGAGAGATATAGAAATGACAGTGGAAAGAAAAAATAGAGACGGACGGAGAGTCTCTGTGGAGCTTCAGACTTTTTGACTCATTGGACGATTGCTCTGAGTAAAGGGTTAATCTTCTCTGAGACCCCTGGTTGTCTGTGACTTTGCCCACCTGTTATGTACAGTTAAATTTGAAAAAAGGAAGATGCGCCGCTACTTACAAACTATTTATATGTGTGGACGTTTGCTTTCTGTCTCCTCCAATACAAAAGAAAGAACAAAAAAGGTGTTTTTATTGATATTGCAGACATGCAAGAGTTCTGTGTGGTCCGGTTCTCTGTAGCCATCAGCATCACAATCTCAGTGTCATTTTTTTTTTAGTTGTTGTTTTTCTTGTCAGCCATGTTTCTTATTATATTACAGTATATCTGATTGATGTCAAGTCTTGTATATGGTTTGGATATATGTGTGCAAGGAGGAGATGTGAGAGTCAGTACAGGCAGATGCTTTATTTTTGTTATGAAATATATTATGCATACTTATATTCAAGCAGGAATTATGTTTATTTCTTTTGTTGTGGTTGAATGTCTGTATTTAATCCATTGGAAGAAAATGAAAAAATCTGGGAAATGTTTGGCTTGGCTCGGACATGGCGGCCTCAAAGTGAGAGGTAGCGTACTGTAGTTCATGGTACAGTTGTGGCGACTGCCCAGTCCTTTGTGTGCATATCGGAGTGTGTGCATCCCAATCCCATAAGCACTCAGACACACTAGAGCAAGCATGGCTGAATGAAGGGGGATGGACGGGCTGCGTGTGCGTGCTTACACACAGTTTCTCTGCTACACGAGGCTATTTTTCATCCATATCTCTCCGACGTTGATAAGGAAGATGCCCGCCCAGTCTGCTTCACGAGCGCACACGTTGTGCCTGCAGAAGAGCAAAGTCCACCTTAAAGTCTGAATGAGAGAGGAGAGCAAATCGACAAGGGCATGAATGGGCTCCTTGTTTATTCAGGCTTTACTCTTGTGTTGACAGGAGAACAAATGTCTGATCACTCCACCCTGTGTAGTTACACTTCATGCAGCCTCGAACCATCAGGACAGACAATGATCAGCTCTCTGAGGTGGAAACAGAACAGTGCACCGGTGGAACACTTACTTCCCGACCAGTCCGTGTGATGAATGTGCAACCAGGGCAACGTGGCGCAACAACAACGGCCCTCTTCCACCCTGTGTTAGAATGAGGACGTTTGACTGGCGTTTTTCAAACAGACAAAGGTGAAAGAGTGCAAAGCGAATCAAGCGAAAGTCACATGAGAAAAGTTGAACGGAAACATGGCTGTGTCAGCTCCTGCTGCGCTGTGGACATCCCACCACACCCACAGCCCACCTGTGAATTATACACTGACTGGTGCTATATGTGTAAGGCTGATGTTTCACCACTGTTCACATCCACATGTACGTCACTGTAAGATAGTGTTCTCAGTAAATCAGGGACCATGTGTGGAGCTGTTTGATTGGACAACGTGATGCATTATGCTTTTATTAAGCCTCTATTACTTTTCCTTTGAGCTACCATTGGATAAAGACAGCAACAATCATAATTTATATATTTATGTTTTCAACAATAAATATATTTCTGCTTATGAAACTGTCCACTGGATGTTGAGTGCCATAAACTGATCCTTGTGTCTCCAGGATGATATTTTAAGATAATACTAGATGTCATGCAGCGCTATAAATAGACACTTTATTGGAAGGAACACTATCTGCTCTCTTTAGGTACAGTAAGTTTTACTTAAATAATATTCAAAGCAAGATCAAAAGAGTGGAGTCCACATGTATTGGTGTTGTCGCAGCAGGCGCGACAGAAGCTGGATGTGAGGGTGGTGCTGTATACAGGAAATGTGAGCTTTTCCAGGCTTGCAGGCTGAGCAGGAGCTGGGCTTTATTCCAGGATCCACCAGCAGCAGACGGTAGGTTCTGGGGGCTTTATTACTTTTCCCCGAGCAGCTCACTCTAATCCCAGGGCTGAGGGACATGAAAGTCCCTCTCCTTTGCACTTCCCAGCCATACACCCCGCTTATTACCTCAGGAGGGAGCCAGATAAAGAAAGGCAAGACATGAAAGAGGAAAGGGATCAGAGAGACAGCAGCTCAGCTAGCCAGTGGAACAGGGGATAAAGTCAATAAAGATAAAACAAAGGCTAGAGGTTTGATTGATTTTATTGTTTTTATCTGACATGCACAGCTTTATTCACAAGAATGGGGAGAGGATTTAGAATGTGCAGTGAATTCACCATGCAGGAGGAAAAGGCAGCGACATGGTAGGGAAAGGAGGAGGAGGAGGAGGAGTGGGAATACCCCGAGAGAGCAATGGGATGGAGACAGAGGGGGAAACTGAAGAAAAGAGGGAATGAAGTGGACTCAGGATGTGGGCAATCGGCACCACAGCAAGACGGGGCAGACAGGGCAGCACTTAAGTGGACATGCTGCTATAAACAATGCCAGAGGGGCATGAGGGGGCAGGTAAGGTGTGAAAAGGGGCTGCTGAATGGGCTCAGTGTGTGTGTGCGTGACTGTGCGTTCAGTTGAACAATGCGTCGGCGGTCTCCTGGTGGGAAACATGGACCGCTGGAATTTCAGGCTCTTGCAGGGAGCAAACTGTGACTCGACTACCCACAATGCACAGGGTCAGAGTTCAGGGTTCACGGGTCAGAAGGGGATGTTGCTGTTGGTGCAGATTGTTAAACTTTAATTATCTCCCTTCTGTTTTCGTGTTTACAGTAAATGAGTTTTGCTGCTTTTGGTAACTTTGATGATTTCAAATCACAAAACGTACAGATTCGGATCTGACTGTCGGAATTAGCTTTGACTGTTTCCCTCCCAGATTACAGATATTTTAACTTTTGGTTCATTACTTTCTTCCCCCGCCCCCGTCCTCCCCTTTCCTTATTTCCTCCCTGTCGCCCTGTTATGTTTCTCCTCTCTGCCCCAACCTGTGGCCTCTGGGTTTTGAGGAAAGGCAGAGGTGGCCTTTGAAGATGGCGACAGCCAAGTTTGTCCGGGGCCACAGCCATGAATGCACGTCTTTGTTGTCCGCCGCTCTCTCACGTCTTCATATCCTCCCCCTGCTACACTCCTTATCCTCTCTCTGCCCCCCACCGACTCACACGGACACGCTCATGCCCTCGCCGGGGCCCCCTTTGCACAAATGACCCTGCTAATTATGTATTTAAGGTATTTGGCTCCTGTGAAAACAGCTTTGGGTTAGCGGTGGAAGGTGGTGGGGCGGTTGGAGAGAGGAGGGTGTGTAGGACGTGGTGTGGTCCATGGTCTCATGGCTATCATTACTGCCCAGCGTTGAATGTAAACACTGGATTAGGGCAGCGAGGGCTGATTCAGGAGAGGGCAGGTTGAGGTGGTGGTGGTCGACTGCGCTTCTGAGTTCTGGTCTCTGGTTTCAGCCCCGGGTGGCAGTCCCTCAGAAACCTTTCTCTCATGCACACACACAGGTAATGGCTTATTAGCAACAGGAGAGACAGCAAAGCATGTAAATACTCACCAAGCTTCTTCCTGTTTCTTCTTGTTCAGCTTCAAATCGGTTACTTTTCATTCTCAACAAACATCTTTGTTGTAAAAACCAACTGAACATGACGCCATGTAGTGCAAAGTTTGTCTCTGTCGATGTTTGATGAGACGTGTGTGTCTTTGCGAGATACCATGTGACCCTCGACTGACCAGCAACGCAACAGAATGAGGACAATGTTCATGGAACTCATCTGGAGACACCAAAATAATTCATGACAAAACTTCCAGTGATGCAGCGGGTCTTCACCATTAGACCTCCTTCACACCCAGTCGCCATCCGCCCTTCCTCCCACCTTCTTATCGGCCCTCTTTGTTAAAATGCTTTGTCACAGTGCCGTCAGCTGTCACGTGTCTGGGCCGTAGCAAAGCATGGGATCATCATGTCGTGAGGAGCCCCGAAAGGACAGCTCTGAAACTGGATCCCCCCGGGGAGGGGGCCGACCGATGCTGCCGATAAACTGGAGATGGACTGTAGCCCGTTGGTTCTCCCAGCGGGAACCTGCTGACACAGGACTCCTCTGACAGTCACACTAACACCCTAAACTCACACTAACCCTTCACCTTATCAAGGAGGTTCAGTTCTGAACCTGCCAACGACAAGTAATCACACTCTCCCATGAGACTAACCTCAATCATCAAAGTTTGCGAAAACACAGCAATCTGGACTAATCCAGTCAGCCCAGTGCACACAGGGTTTACTGGCGGGGCGATGGAATTAGTTTTCACTTCCTCTTCCTCCAATCCATCTTTATCTCTTTTAATTGACTGTGCCAGCGTGTGTGTGGAGGTTGAAAGAAAACACGAAAATCCTCACAGACTGATCCGACTTGCCTTTTCTCAAAGTGCTGCCCGACTGAAGTGAGCCTCTGTCAGGTCTTGTTAAATGGAGGGAGGGAAGAAGCGAGACAAGCAGGGAGTGAAGGAGGGCGTGGCAGAGGAACTACTGAGAGCGTAGAGGTCTCTGGAGGGAGATAAGTCAGGTTCTAATGGGAGCCCAAGTTTGTATGTGTTGTAATTACAAAGAGAGATACATGGAGTCATTGCCTCTGCTGTGTGTGCGCTCGTGAGAGAGGTCGAGTGTGCGAGCATGCACGTTTTCCGATGGGAAGCCAGTTTCCCTTTGCACATCAAATAAATCAAAAGTCTACAATTAGAAAGAAGGAGTGAGCAGTGTTTGGTTTGTGGGAAGAGAGGAAGAAAGCTTGGAATGTGTCACAGTTATTGAGGAATGAGGACTTTGTGCATGTGTGTGTGCGTGTGTGCGCACTTTTGTGAGTGTACAATTATATGTGTGAGGTCGGGAGTAGCCGGCCCAGCCAACATTCTTGGGCCGGCAGTATTATTAACTGTGGTGTAGCCATTATCAGTGTTTACTTTGATCCAACCACCATGAGAGGAGTAATGGACTTGCATGAACCCAGCCTCCGGCTCTTTTTCCTCTCAGAGATTCTTGTCTTTATTGAGACGATGATGTTCTTTACCTCATTATTTTCAAGTTCGAGGGGGTTGGTGAGAGAACAGTGAGCCCCGCTAGGATGCTGACGAACATGTGTGTCCATCGCAGCGTACGCCTCTCCGTTAAAGCTGCTGAGCCGAGGCTGAAGTCAGGATTTCAGCGCTCCACATCCCATAATTCAGCAGTGTGATAAGACCACCTAGTTTTACAGCCTTATTATAACACTTGTTAGTAAGCCTACACACACACACACATATACACACACTGCTCTCTTATCTTTAAAGGAACACTATTGTCAATAGACTGGGCAGACACACACACACACACACACACACGCAAAGACTTTGTTATCCTGAAGGAAAGAAGAAAAAAAATGGAACGAGCTATGTTAATGTAGGACTCTGGACCTTGGTGTGTGTGTTGGAGTGTGTGTGTGTGTTCACGTAGTTTACCTTCAGATTGTGGGAAAGGCTGAGGTGCAGCCGCCCTCCTACCTGTCTCATGGGGGTGTGTTGAGAGCATCGCCACAGACCTCACACTGTTCACAGCGGCTGGCAGGTGGCAGACGCACCTGGAGCTCAAATGCAGATGAACACACACTCACTCACACACACACATTTACCAGAACAGATTACTAGTGCGTGTAAGTGGCGGCTATTGTTAAACTGGTGTCATGGACGTCTTAATATTATGACTCGTCACTGCAGGTGTCGCCGGTAACGGTAGAAGCAGAAACAAACATCACCGGCTCGCTGCTACTTCTGTCTTTGTTTATCTGTTTTCAAGTGTTTTATTTTTTAAATGACAGCAGTTTGAGCCACGACAACCAGAAGACTGGTGGAGCGGTGGTTAGCACCGTTGCCTCACAGCAAGAAGGTCGCCGGTTGGCGTCCCGGTGAGGACACCCGGGATCTTTCTACGTGGAGTCTCCATGTTCTCCCCGTGCAGCGTGGGTTCTCTCCAGGTTCTCCGGCTTCCTCCCACAGTCCAGAAACATGCTGAGGTTAATTGGTGATTGTAAATTGTCCGTAGGTGTGAATGTGAGTGTGCTTGGTTGTCTGTCTCTAAGTGTAGCCCTGTGATAGACTGGTTACCTGTCCAGGTGAACCTGCCTTCACCCTGAGTCAGCTGGGATAGACTCCAGCCCCCATGACCCTGGTGAGGATTAAGCGGTGTATAGAGGATGGAGGGATGGATTTCACAGTTATAGACAGCATAGCGCGCAGTGAAATGTATTGAGCACCTGTTCTGGACTGAAACAATAAGAAGACTAAGAAGGGGGGGCGCCCCATAGCTCACCTGGTTGAGCGGGCGACCCATGAACAGGGCTGTAGTTCTCCGGCGCGGCGTTCGTGAGTTCGATTCCGACTCATGACAGTTTGCTGCAGGTCTCTCCCCGTTCTTCTCCTGTCTCCCTCTCTCACTGTCCTGATTAATAAAGGCAAAAAACGCCAGAAAAATAATCTTCAAAAAAAAGAAGACTATGAAGAATAAAGAATAAAAACACAGAAAAAATAAATATATAAAAATAAGCAAAATAGATAAATCAAAGTGTCAAACAGTGCAAAGAAATATAAATACAAGGCGAAAAGTAAACAGGATGAT